GCTGGCTGTTGGCTCCCCACCTCTGCCCTGACCTCTGCCCGCGGCCCGTCTTTGCCTCGCCAGAGACCTGGGAACTGTTTTCTCTCTGGCCCCGTGTCCTGTGCCGAACGGTAGAGGTTCCAAAGAAATCACCTCCTCATTTAGAATGCGCCCAAATCAAAACAGCAGATGCAATTTTGAGATAGAGATTTTTGTCAGTTCCTGTAGTTTCAGTATCTTAAGAAAAGTAATATAAAAAGTTGTTCTTGAATTTTCAAGCATTGGAGACCTTATTTTTAGAAGCTGCTTAGGATCATTTTATTACTAGAAACTTAAAGCCCCAAACTGGAACGCTCATTTGAGACGGTTCAAGTATTTTCCTTAAAAAAATACCTAAATGTCTTTATTACAATATCACCTTTTGTGGCAGAAAATCGAACCATGTGGCTAGAAGGAACAAACTCTATGCCAGCAGCCATGTTGGCTAAGATTATTTTTGCCTCAAATGCTAGGGCTGTGGACTAAGAGTCTAGTCTCCTGATGCATTGGAGAGGAACAGAATTAGCTTATGAAGAACATTCCAACCAGACGTCTGGGAATTGCTAACTGCAGTCACAAAAAAGACGGAAGGAAGGAAGGCAAGCAAATTTTCTTTCATGTATTTGAAACAATGGGTGTTAACTCTTATGGATATTCAGGTTAAGAGAAAGGCATTGAATTCTCCTAATCACTATGAACTGAGTATCTGCTGAGAATCTCTATTGTGGAAGCCTTGAGGATAATGCCAAGATGCAAGAGAATGTGCCCTTGCTGATCAGAGTCTTGTAATCAACTCAGGGGAAAAGCATGCGGATACATGACCACAGCAAAAGCCAGAGAAGGGAAGGGCTTTCCGAGGGATATTAAGCAAGGGCCTTCACATTCAGTTCAGGGAGAGGTTATTTCCAACTGCGGTGATACACGAGGTATTTGGGAAAGGAAACAGCTTTTGAGCCAAGCCTTCGATGCACCGATATGATCTTGATAGAGATGGTTAAAGTGTACGGTACATAAAAGGAATGCAAACCTAGGGGATTGAATTGTACCGGGCATGTTTGGGGAAAGCAAGCAGCCCTGTCTGACTGCAGTGGAAAAGTTCAAATGGGAAAACAGTGAGCGAAAACCCTAGAATGATGGACTAATCAAACCCATTATCACGCTGGACTCTCTCAATCTGTAGGCTAGTATTTCTCAGGGTTTTTATCCGGGCCTTGCTACCTCAGGTTTGGTCGGGTGTTAAATGCAAATTTCAGTCCCCTGAAATCTGCAACGCACGGGAAAATCGGAAAACATTTGCTATTGAAACAGCCATCGGGACACTGGTCAGTGAAGGTTTGGGGACAGGAGAGTGGCCGGCAAGAGGCGAAATGAAGGTTCAAACTCTGGGTGGTGACAGCAGGAGCAGGGCTTTGTGCCAAGAAGGAGTCTCTGGAATATAGTGACGGGGGTTATGGGCGGCGAGCGGAGGGAGCCTTCAGGTACGGCCAGCAGGACTCTGAGCTTCCGCGGCCAGGGAGACAGGGGTGCCCCCAGCAGCGATATGGATCACACGTGAATTTCCCTGACACCTGCATGATCACTCCAAACCTTCACCCCCCGCCCCCTCAAAACTGCATTTTCTCCCCACCCCTAACCGAAATGCCCCCCCCCCCAAGTATTTCTGGAGTTTCAAAGAGCCCGGCAGGTGCTCATCAACGGGTCTGAGCTCCCTAGCGCCTCCTTGCTGTCGGGGTGGTGTCAGGATGGCTTGGCTACATTCCTTGCTCTCTGGCCAGGCCGTGAGCTCGGGCGCCTTGGTCTTGCCCACTGCTTCGGGGCTCAGCAGCTCCCTGATCCTGGCAGTAAGTGCCCCATGGTGGGTCTAGGAGAGGCGGGTGTTGCTCTGAGTACCGTGGCCCCACCCCGTCAGCCCCCTTCCCTGCTGTCTGCCGGTCACCCGCATCTCCTCTGCGGCTCCCCCAGGCCCAGCAGGTCCGTGCCTGAGACAGATTAAAGGGACATCGTGAACCATGTCCTTCCTGCCGGGTGGTATCATCCAGTGCCCACCTGGGGCACTGGGGACTGGAGGTACAAGGACGGATGGATTCTGCCCTTTGGAGAGCCTTCTGCCAGAGGGGTCCCAAAACAGCCTTCTTCAGCTCTGAGTCTTAAAAATTGAGGCAAAATGACTCTTTCGTCCTCTCAGATAGGATGTGGGGCTGCCAGGGGACCATCTGAGTGGTAGAATCTTCTCTCCCCACTGGGAGTAAAGGCTTGTTTGGGGTGTTGAGTTCAATGAGTTCATGTACCTGGGTCTCCTCCTTCCCTCAAAACATGTGTTCCTTTAAAACACGCAAAGTACTCTCGGTCCTCAGCAGGTGACACTTTGGCGGGCCATTTCCCCCCACAGCGTTCACCAGATATGCCCAGTACCCCATGGAGGACACAGCTGGGCTCACCTGGGATCCCCACTTCATATGGGAATTGAAGGCAGATCCTGTTGGGAAGAGGAGAGACTGAATTATTTCACTTAAATTTTTTTTTTTAAGATTTTATTTATTTGTTTGTCAGAGAAAGATACAAAGAGAGAGAGAGCCTGAGCATTGGGAGAAGCAGGCTTCCCACTGTGTTGGGAGCCCGACGCGGGGCTCGATCCCAGGACCCTGGGATCATGACCTGAGCCGAAGGCAGATGCCCAACCGGCTGAGCCACCCAGGTGCCCGGCTTTTAACTTTTTTGCTTGGAATGTAATTTTTAATAACAAACAGTAAAATTGACTTCGTTTGGGGTGTATGGTTCTACAGATTTTAACACCTGTATAGACTGGAGTAAGCATGCACATAACATGGAACAAATTCACCCCCCAAAGTACCCTCCCCCACCCCTCGACCCTGGCAATCACTGACCTGTTCTCTGTCACTACAGTTCCATCTTTTAGAGAATGTCATATAAATAGAGCCAGACAGTGTGTAACCCTCGGAGAGCGGCTGTTCCTGTTCAGCATGATTTCCTGGAGATTTCCTCCACGCTCTTCTATGCTTCAGTAGTTTGTTGCTTTTTTACGGCTGGGAAATATTCCTTCCTATGAATGCAGCACACCTTGTTTACCCGTTCACCCACTGAATGACTTTGGGGTTGTTTCCAGTTGGAGGGGGGATTATAAGTAGAACTGCTGTCCACATTCATGTACAGACTTTTTAGGTGAACGTAACTTCTCATTTCTCCTCAGCCTAGTTTAATTTCCTCTTATGAGTAAGTTTCCATATATTTGTGTATGTCTAAGAGGTATTCCTATTTCCTTGTCTATAAACTTCTCATTCCCCTTTACTCATGTCTCTTTTTGGTTGTTGGTCATTATTCTCTTAGACAAGTTGGTTTGGGGGGCCGTCCGTACGTCTGGGTGACAGTGTCCAGTGTCGAGTTAAGAAACGTGGGGCTAACGTGAGAGAGACACAGGAAGACCCAAACTTGAGAGTCCCACTGAGAGGACAGACAGGAAGCCATGGTGCTGCACAAACCCTCTGAGGGAGAAAACGCACACGGCCGGAAGACAGGGTCTGTGGAAATGCCTGTGTTTAGGGTGTGGAAAGAGGAAGCCCGAAAGGAGGAAACCAAGAAAGAGACTTCTTAGAGAAGAGTCAGGACGGTGCAGGGTGACGTCAGTAAAAGCTGAATACCGGAGGCCTGCTAAGTAAACACAGGGTACTATGTTCAGAAGAAGAAAGAACATCTCTTTCCAAGAATTCTCAGCCAAAATGAATTCTAGAAAAAGTGGAAGGCAACATGCCAAAATACAGACAGGGTTGACTCTAGGTGGTGAAAATAAGGATCTATTTTTATTTCTTATACTTTCCCCTGGTTTTCAGATTTTCTGTCATGCCTATGTAGTGCTTTTTTGGTGCTTTTCAAATTTTCCAATGCACTGGGGGAAATATTTTAATTTTTCAATGGTAAACTTTCAAAATAACCCATGTGAAACTTTGTAGCAAAACCTCAGCAAGCCCCTCATTCTCTGACTTGATATACTCCTCACTTAATTACGGTGAGACTTCACCTTCTGATGAATTTTGCAATGAGAACACTAAGGGAAGAAGAAAATGGATGACATTAAGGAGTTAAGGATATATATCTTTATTTTATTTTTTTAGAGAGGGAGGAAGGGGGCAGAGGGAGAGAGAGAATCTCAAGCAAGCCTCCACGTCCAGCACAAGGCTTGATCTCATGACCCGGAGATCATGACCTGAGCTGAAATCAAAAGTCAGATGCTTAACTGACTGAGCCACCCAGGTGCCCAGGGATATTAAAGATATTTTAAATAGGCATTTAAGGAAGGATTGGAGGGATTGGGGGGGGGGTGTGGAAGAGAAAGGGAGGAACAAAAGAAAGAAGACCACAATCTAAAATGTCTTAAAGAAGGATTAGTGAAGACAAGCATGGTACATCCACTCACTGAAATGGTCTGCGTGCGGTTTGAAATTCCGTCTCTGAGGATGGAGCCAAGACAGGTGGAGCTCTGGCACAAGCCCATCCAGAATGTCTTCTCAAACCACCCCAAATAAATGTACCTTAGGAGGGACAGCAGCAGCTGGGGTGTGCACGGGGTGCCCCCAGCAGCTAGCCCCCACCCCCCACCACCCTGCAGCCCCGGCCTGCCAAGAAAGGACGACGTCACCCCTGCAAAACGATGACAACACTTGCTACCTAATGTTAAATCAAAATGATAGAAGATGGGGGAAAATGGGATTAGAGCTGCCCATTAAGAAAACATGGAATATTTAATCCGCAGGACAGACAGGAAAACTAGAAAATACACATGAATAGCACGACTGTTTTTCCTGCTCTCAAATGTCTTTGCAGCTTTACACCTTTTAAAGCAATGCCAAATAAAAGCCATGCCAAAATTGTACTTTCAATGTCAAAGCGGCCGTGCTTGACTCACAATTCTGCCCACGCCCGGGGAGGCACGCACCGGCTTACATCCTTCTTTTCTCTCCTTCCCGCAGGACGTGCTGGGTGGCGTCCTGGTCACTGCGGTCTTCATCGTCCTCACCTACCCCGCCTGGACCCTTATCGACCGCCTGGACTCGGCCAGCCCCCTGTTCCCCGTGTGCGCCATTGTGGTGCCCTTCCTCCTGTGTTACAACTACCCCGCGTCTGACTGCTACAGCCCAACCAGGGCGGACACCACCACCATTCTGGCCGCAGGGGCGGGGGTGACCCTCGGGTTCTGGGTCAATCACTTCTTCCAGCTCGCGTCTGCGCCCACCGAGTCTCTCCCTGTCGTTCGGGACATCCCGCCGCTCACCACCGACATGTTGGTCTTGGGGCTGACCAAATTTACCGTGGGCATCGTGTTGATCCTTCTAGTGCGCCAGCTAGTGCAAAACCTCTCCCTGCAAGTGCTGTACTCGTGGTTCAAGGTGGTCACCAGGAACAAGGAGGCCAGGCGGAGACTAGAGATCGAAGTGCCTTACAAGTTCGTCACCTACACATCCGTGGGCCTCTGTGCTACGACCTTTGTGCCAATGCTGCACAGGTTTTTGGGGTTGCTCTGAACCTCAAAGGAGTTGGAAGGTAGCCCCCTGGACAAGGGAGCCCGAACAGGAATGGGGTGGGGTGGGCAAGCTTTGACAATACATTTTTCTTAAAAAAAAAAAAAAAAAATCCTTAAGCCACATGTCTGTGTTGCTGATATGGGAGGTCAGTGTTGCTGCTGTGTGGAAGGAAATACTGTCTCACAGGGACATCAGTCCGTAAGCGTCAGGTTGCAGGGGAAGCCAGGCTAAACCCACAGTCCGTTCTTTAGGGGTCCCCACTCTATTATGCGGACTTTGGACCTAGTTGTGGACTGGCAGGAACTGTCGCCTGGCTTGGGGGATCCGGAAGAGACAGGCATGATCTGAGAGGCTGGAGGTCAGGCGTCTCTCTTCTGTTGTGACCTCGCCCACCACGGGGCCTCATGTCCAGACTTGGAACCTGGGTCCGGAGAAAGGGTGGCATTGTGTACAACTGCCTTCCTTGGACAGGGTGACATTTTTGTTATCACACCAGACTGTGCCCACTTGGGTGGCAAGAGCACCGTGGACCCCACCATGGGGCAGTAAGGGACGAGGGCGACCTGGGAGATCATGGACAGGAGCCTGTTTCCCTCCTCAGTCCCGCTCTCTGGGGGGTCCATTCGTCCACGTCTGTGCGTTTTACAGAACTCCAGGTCACGTTTCCACACTCTTTTGATCCATGAAACCCACTAGCTTCTCCCACCTCTCTTCATCGGGGCTTCCCGGTGTGTCCTGCTCTCTCCTGCTTCGCCGTGACTTGGGACCAGCCCTCGGCCCAGATTTAGGTGTTTTTTGCTTCTGTACAAACTGGGGAGGTGCTGTCATCTTCCTGCAAGGGTGGCCCAACAGAACAGATGAACTCATTCCTCCCTGGGGCCTGACAGGGAAGGAACAGACCTCTGGGGCCTTGCTCCTCCATTTCTGTTACTTTCTGTAAACCGATTTTCTCACCCACCAAATAGAATCAGGGACTCCCTTTCCATCCGCCCCCCCCTTATCTCTTGGCAGTTTTAAGGGTAATTAATGCAAGAACAGGATCAGCCTCTCTTGGGAAGACAAGCTGACCAAACACAACACAGCCTTTAAGCCCGCGTGTGTCCTCGTGAGGCATAGGAAGGCCACGACAGGGGGATACGTCCTCTGAGGGCACATCTTCAGTTCTTAAGAATAAGGAACACGCATCAACAATCTTCTGAAAAGTTAGCATAAATGCGTAGTTACCAAGTGTCTTGTGCTGTGCGGTGCCCGAACCACCAAACCCAATGACTTGAATCCCAACACGTCATTTCCACGCACCCACTTCAGGGTTAGGCTCTTCCCTCTGCCTCCAGCGTGAAAACTGAAAACCCCATTTGTCCCGATTTCAAATATGTCCCCTGATATTTCTGTCGGGATGACCTTTGCTATTTGGCTTCGTGCTCCAGTCTATTGGGAACGATGTTGAGGAAACCATTCTGCCTTTCCTTCAAACTCTTCTGACATTGTTCCTAGTTAGAAGGCAGGAATCAGAAGGACTTGCCATTTATTTGACTGTTCTTACAGCAAACTCTGACCAGTATTTGTGGCAGCAGGATGGAGGCAGGGGGGAGCCCCAACTTACAGGCACCCCTGCCCTGGGCCAGCCCCACCCGTGTGGCAGATGAGGCATGTCCCCGCAGCACTGGATAATAGTTAACGCAAAATAATTTTAGTTGATTTTTCTGAAGCTAATTAGCAAAGGACCGGTTTTTCCATTTGTATCTTTTGAGAGGAGGGGCCGTAACTGTCATGGCAGTGGGTGTTGGCAATTCATTCAAGTGTGTGTGTGTGATTTTTAATGCTGTCCTTTTAAGTCCCAACAACAGGACTGCAATCAACTGTATTAATGTTTTTAAGGCTGTATTTACACGATTGGATGGAGGACGATTAGCCATAGCACCTTAAAGAATGACCCAAGGGCTTGTCACAGTTGGTCACTTTTTTTTGAAGTGTCTCGTTTTGCAACTGGAAAATAAAAAGTGTATATTGGTGAAGACCATTTTAGTTTTTGAGCTCTACTGCTCTGCAGAAACGGATTGGAAAAGTAACTACCAGCTTCTTACTCTCGCTCACCAGCCCTCCTCAGGCACTTCTCACACCCTCCCAGGCCTGCTGTCTTGCACACCCCACCCCCGTCCCTTCAAGGAGCAGGCCTCCTGGCTCCTTGGAGACATTTGGATTTTCTCTCTGGGGAGAGACTGCCCCCTGCTGGTGTAGTCTCAGCCGTGGTCCAGAGTCCCTCTCCATCAGGAGACGTGGAGATTAAGAATTTAAAAAATCGGGGCGCCTGGGTGGCTCAGTCATTAAGCGTCTGCCTTCGGCTCAGGTCATGATCCCAGGGTCCTGGGATCGAGCCCTGCATCGGGCTCCCTGCTCCGCAGGGAGCCTGCTTCTCCCTCTCCCACTCCCCCTGCTTGTGTTCCCTCTCTCACGCTCTCTCTGTCAAACAAATAAATAAAATCTTTAAAAAAAAATAAAAATAAAAAAAATAAAAAAAAAATTTAAAAAGTCAAGCTCACCATGATGTATCCAAGATGAGCTTAGGACCTGGGGTCTGCGTTTGGAAGCCATGACCCCAAAGCCCTCAGGACGACTGGAGCCTCTGGGAGCCCAGCAGAACATGCCCTCTTCCTCATGGGCCTGCCCCCAGCCCCCTCCCACTCTGGGCCAGGCCCTCCTGCAGCACCCTTCCAACCAGCTGTCACTGCAGGCTGGTTTTGCTCAGACCCGCACCACTACAGAATATGCAGAAGGAAACACAGAAGGGACCCTGAACTAAAAACCCTTAAATGGCGGTGGCTGAAATCACGCCACAACATGCCTGAAGGTTGCACTGTAATGTGGGATTTTTCTCCCCCCAAGTAGGCAACTCATGCTTCCCGGGTGTAATCAAAGCATGTGGTGTTTCAGAGCCATATGCTCCGGGTTTCTATTTTGGAAGCTTCCAGCTGTCTTGCTTATGTACTGTATGTAAATTTATTCTTTTTAAAATAAAATCATTTTGTGTTTATGACTCCTTATTAAATGTTTCAAAGGCCAGTGTTGCGCTCCCTTGGATAACCACCCCCCACCCCGCGCTGAGACCTTTCAGGGTTCATTGGACCTGAGTTGAAAAGAGGTGGCAAAAAGAAAGGACAGGCTATCGAATTCTCTGTTGCTGTCCCTAATTCAGTTGCGTACGGGTGTTGGTGAGTGTCACGGCCGCCATAGATGGGCCGAACGGGAAGTGGTACGTGCACCTCCTCTAACTCCTTGATACTAAAAAGAATCGTCGTACCGTATGTCAAGTAAATGTTACTGGTGTTGCTGGCTAAGGTAACTAAAAGGTTTTCGTGAATGAGTCCACTGCTGAGCCAAATGAACGTGACCCTATTTCATATTCACATGGTTACAATGCTATGCTCTGTATTTAAGCATTCCAAATTTGCTATTTGAAATGGTACAGAGGGCTGACACTCATTGGCAAGGTCACGGCTAGGACCCTATTTGTATTTTTAATACCTGCTATGCTGGGTATCATGAACATGTGATGTTGGATGGGACCTAATCTGCCCTGTGGAGTTCTCCCGGGAGAGAGGAGACTCTGGCTCAGGGAAATGGAGGAGAGGAGAGGAAGCGGAGATTAATTCCTGCTTGAGGCCCGCAGCAACTCAAGGAAGGCTCCAGGGAGAAGCAGTCCATGAGCGAGGCTTACAGAACAGATGGGGTTTGCACAGGGATGTGATGGGAAGTAGGTAGGAGATGATCCTCCAAGGGGAGGCACAGCTTGCCAGAGATACTTCCCCTCAAACACCTGCAGCTCTTAGGAGAATCCAAACCAAACCCAGGTTGGCGACTGTGTGTAGGAAAACGGTGCTGGGACAGAGGATGAGCAAGGGGCTTTGACCCTGCAGAACCCAATCACAAGAACAGGAAGGAAGGGTGAGAAAGCCCCTTAGTCCATTTTGTTACATCCACGTGGGACCATTCCAGAGGAGGTGACACCCAGAGGGGATTTCCTAGTCTCCTCCATCATCTATCATTCCCTATTCAAATGTTAAACAGTCCGCAGTGGGCACCTTCCCCTTCCACCACGTGGAACCTGGCCCCTCATGCCCAGCTTCATTCCCGGGGTCTCTTGTTCAGTGTTCAGCAGAGGTGACAGCTGCTAGGACCTCTCTCTGTGTCCTTGGTGCCCATTTTCCCTCTTCTCTTGGTTCAGTTCCCTGAACTTCTCCAGTGGAACTTGATTTAAAAGTATTTGACCTTGGGCGCCTGGGTGGCTCGGTCGTTAAGTGTCTGCCTTCGGCTCAGGTCATGGTCCCAGGGTCCTGGGATCGAGCCCCGCATCGGGCTCCCTGCTCCGCGGGAAGCCTGCTTCTCCCTCTCCCACTCCCCCTGCTTGTGTTCCCTCTCTCACTGTGTCTCTCTGTCAAATAAATAAAATCTTTGAAAAATAAAATAAAATGAAAGTATTTGACCTTGATCCTGGCTCTTTGAGAGACCTGTACTTGTGCTCGCTCCCCCTCCCTCCACTATTGTGGAATGAAGCCCCAGTTCTCTAATAAGAGGCTAACCAGAACCAAGTGGCGTAGATGTATCTAGTTTTAGCGGATAGATGTTTTCCTAAAAGCTGTCTGTTTTGATTTTTCTTTTTAACTTGAATTTTAAGTACACCCAGGGGTTTGCTGTTTATAAATAGCATTTTTAATCATATGGCAATTCTTCATTTCTGTAAACATAAGGCTCTTCAATGGATTACTTGGGGTACGCCATGTGTCCATTGTTTTCTTAAAGTGGGGCACACCTGTAGTACAGACTTGACTATTTAGAGGATGCATATGAAGAATAAGAGTTGAATGTGGACCATGAATAGAATGTTAAATTCTTAAAACTAGCCACATGAGACAAGGGAGCTCTATGAAGCCAAAAATCCTTTTTCCTTTTCCACGCCTGTCTATATGGCATGCAAAAACAAACAAGAAAACCAAGGATGCAGC